GAAAAATAAACATGATCTGCAATTTGTGATCAATGCTTTTCAGAGCTGATCACACCAGCTGTCTGTGTGCAGCATCGAGTCCTCCCTGCCCCCACCCAGATATAAACAAACGCGTCTGCCAAACTTTTACTCCGTAATGTAAACTTCAACTCCTGCAGCGTAGAGGACACTTGTTAAAATACGTCAACATGGTGGATTTAATAGAAGCTTTAAAGAACAATCTCTGGACAATGTGAGGTGAGTTTGTCTCACTGCAGAAATAAAAACACACATGGAGCATCAGCAGTCAGACGCAGCCGCTCACCAACACTCGTGTGTGTGTGAGCGTCAGAAGGCTGAACAATAACCTGTAGAATAATTAAAGTCATCATGCTAGAGAAGCTTTCTCAGCTTCTGCCACAATAAATAATTATAATAATAATAATAATAATAATAATAATAAATTGCATACAAAGTTGCGAACATTATAATTTCCTTTTTGAACTATTTCTGTTGAGTTTTAATGTTTAAAATCTGTTAGGTTGTTACTGACAGCAGCTACATTTAAGTTTCACTTTCTGTCCTGACTGAATGCTGCTGCAGCATGGAGGTGTAGTTCTCAGTCATCCTGGACATGATCATCCTGAGAGTTTTAGCTGAAAACAGCTGGACGTTTCTGGATATGTTGGAGACATTTAGCCTCTCATCCCAGAGGCTTCTTCCACACTTAGGTTGTGGTCAGAAACAAACACACTGATTGTGCTGCAAGTCTTTTTCTTTTTTTCTCCAAAACATGTTTTTTGTCTAATGAAGGTGATGTTATCGTTCATAGAATTAAAATTCATGTAGAAGTTAAGATTATTTCATCAAGTAGGACCTGTGGTTAGCTGGCTCATGTAAAACGTGTCATGTCTTGAAAGAATCGGAATCGGAAATCAATAGGAACTGGAATCGAAAAGAGGAATTGGAATCAGAATCGGAATCGTTCAAAATCAAACGATGCCCAGCCCAACAGTGTCAAAAGCTGCAGTCAGGTCCAGCAGGACCATAACAGAACAGTCCCCTGCATCACTGAGTCAGAAGGTCATTGGAGACCCTAAGAAGAGCTGTTTCAGTAGAATGAGCTCTACGAAAACCTAACTGGAAGCTATCATAGATGTTATGTTCATCAAGAGCAGCTGTGAGTTGTTTAGCCACAACCTTTTCCAAGATCTTGGAGATGAACAGAAGTTTAGAGACGGGTCTGAAGCTGCTATGGAGAGAGCGGTCGAGACTCGGTTTTTTAAGAAGCGGGTGGATTACAGCGTTCTTAAATTAAGCAGGGACCTGACCAGAGACCAGAGAAGAATTAATTATAGAGAGCACACTGGGACCGATGGACTGAAAAGCACTTTTAAACAAAGATGAGGGTAAGATGTCGAGGGGGCATGCAGAGGTCTTCATAGAGTTAACTAGCTTGGTTAACTAAGGCAAAGAAACAGGAGCAAAGCTATCTAGGATGATGGGCCTGGTTGGAGTCGGGAGAGGCAGCGATAAGGCTGAAGGAGAGATGCTAGATCTAACCTTATTGACTTTGTCCACAAAGAAAGACAGAAAGTTCTCACAGTCTGCAACAGAGTGGATGGAGGCTGTAGGAGAGGCAGGAGACACGATGCTGCTGATGGTGTTAAACAGCACCTTGGGGTTCCCTTTGCTCTGGGACACCAGGTTGGAGAAATAAGAAACCCTAGCGTCTCTGACTGCAGAGTTAAAGGATGTCAGAAGATCCTTTAGGTGCAGCAGATGGACGTGGAGATGGGTTTTCTTCCACAAGTGCTCAATTTTTCTGCGTTGGCGCTTCAGGCTGCGAAGGCTGTCATTAAACCAGGGAGTAGGGTTCACTGCAGGAACTGATCTGGTTCTGACAGGACAGATGTTATGATAAATGACAAATGACCCGCACTTGTATAGCGCCTCTCAGAGTAAGGACTCAGATAACAGATAACACTAGGGCCGCCCTTTGTTCTCTCCCTTTGGGTGAGGGGGGTTCTAGGGGGATATATATAGAGTGTGGGGAACTCTGCTGAGCAGGACTCACTCCTGAGGCTGCTTTGGGAAGAGCCTCTGTGACTGTTTCCTCATTTCGATATTGCAATATTGAAATTAAACCCTTTTGATTGAATCATGTACTGCTTTCTCATTATTTTATTAAGTCTCTAAAAGGAATTTCACAACATTATTCCATTTGATAATATCTATATCAGGATGAATTAAAAAATGTCACGTTAGTTGTTTTAAAAGGTTAAGTGTGATTATTTTTTCTCCCGATCCTAATTCCTTTAAAATCACGCAATTGGATCGAAGCATCCTTATTTGAGACAACCGTTTCTTCTAATGCCCCCTCCCTGGTGACCTCACCTGATGATGGTAACGTGAGAGCAGACACGCCGTAGTACGTGAATGCTCCATTCTCAAATTTCAGCCCTTCTTTACCGATTTCCACCTCCACACGACCCTGTTTAAAAGAACAACTCAATTACTTTAAAACCAAAAGCTTTTCAAGATTTTCTCCTTGAGACAGTAAAAGAAAACTATGTTTTTCATTTAATGTATTTGTTACTTAAATAATTTGATCTAAAGACCTGAGCTGATCCAAAATAACCCATCCCGTCTTCCTGCATTCAACTGAGATTTTTTTATGACACATTCATTGAATTTCCTTCTCTAGAAAAGATGATATGAAAACACATCTGGGTCCTGGTACCTGCAGCAGGAGGATGAAGTAGTCCACCGGATGGTTTCGGGTGTACAGATAGTGGCTGGAGCTGAGCCGGTTGTTGTGATCAAAGTGGACCTCCTGGTTGACACTGGGGTGGCGGAGCAGGTGGAACAGAACCTTCTCTGACACTCGAGCCGGGCTGAAGAGCTCCACTTCTACAGGAGACAGAGGAAAAGTCAGATCTGATGCTGGAAGCAGGAAGACTGATTGGGACCTGTCCTGGGGCCCCTTTTGTTCTCCATCCATTGTCTCACTGCTCCCACACTGTTTTTAATGCACCATATAAAATTGGTATGGTATGGTATGGTATGGTATGGTATGGTATGGTATGGTATGGTATGGTAGAGTGTTGGTGTGTATTCCTACAAGAGGTCTGGAAGGAAGTTGGCAATAAAACCTGCTAGTTTACTTATTTTTCAGATTAAATCATTTAGAAGTTTGAAATCTATAAACCATCTACTTATGTTGACTGTATTTAAAACATGAGTGTTAACAGATTTCATGACTAAACTTGAGTTTTCCTCTTCGTTTTGTGGCAAACACATGATGCGTCTAACTTTCATTAACGTCCTGGTGTGTGTAACTCAGGAAACTGATTCATCCTGCAGGAACAGCTCCAGAAACAAACCTCTGGAGAGAAAGCGGTGCGTGGCCAGCAGCAGCTGTGGTGATGTGTGGATCTTTGGTTCTCCCTCTGGAGGTTTGAAAAGAGAAAATTCCTCGTGGCTGCTGCGAGGTTCAAGAGGGATCTCGAGAGGAGTGACGGGATGTTTCAGCTTCCTGTCTACTGGAAAAGCAGGAGACGAGACTCAGAATTTGACAAACGTGTGAGCTGCTACGACAGATCTGAGCAGTGACACTCACGGTAACCGTCAGACTCGTCCAGGATCTCTGACTTGATGATCTCCTCGATGACGTCCTCTAAGGTGACCAGACCCAGCACCTCGTAGAAAGGATCCCCTTCCCCCTCGTTGTTCACCTTCTGAACGATGGCCATGTGGGAGTTACCTGAGAGGAACACAGAGGTTCCACCTTACAGAGACTGGGCTTCAGTGTTATTGACCCTTACTAGTCCCCCGGTAATCCAGTAGTTTTGATTTGTTATCTCCTGCAACTTCTGAACACAACACATGCTCAGAAAGCTGATGGACTAGGAAAGGAGAAGAAATAATCTGCATAAACTGCAAACAATTACACAACCATGGGGTATGGGTGAAACGAGTAAGAAACCCCATCCTCAGGCAGAAACATCATTTAAATATGTGGTTGACTGAAAAAACATTCTTAATTATTATCACTGATTATAATCAGTCACACTGAGTTTCAAGCAGACTGAACATGAAAATAGTCTCCTACACCTATCTCCTGAATTAGCTTCTGATAGAAAATAGAAGATTAAACTCTAGGATTTGAAAATCAGATCTACGTCACAACATTCATGGACTCACCCAACTTGACTCACGACATGGAAGGCTGTTGTTGTTTCAACGTCCAGAAAACAACAGCGGACATCTTGGCTCGTTTAACCTAACTGTTAGCATTAGCAACTTCGCCACACAGCAGAAGCTCCTCCAGGCTTGTGTTATGTGTGGAGATAAAACATCAACTTTGTAAGTCAGTGGTATAGTCTTGTTGCCGTTTCCTCCCCGAGTGCGATCGTTATGGACATGTGTGCAACTTTGTGCACATAGTTTTCAGACAATATTCATGGATTTGATACACTGAAGAAACCAGTATTTATAACTTCTAAATAATACAGTAACATGGTTTAACCAGTTTGGCTGAGTTGTTGCCGGGTTTATCAGCTGTTCAGTTACATCACGTACTGTTTATGCTCCAAGAGGAACCAGAGAGGGATCTAACCCTGTTTAGGACGAGCGTGTACCGTGCAGTCAGAGTGAGGTCTCCGTAGTGCTGCAGTAAATACTTTGTAGCTCCTCTCTGCTAAGTCAGCTGCAGGGAGAGAAGTGTGAGTCAGCACTGGGCTGTTTGGACATGCTCAGATGTGCTTGGAAGGGACTTCAGAAGGCTGGAGATCACATGAAAAAAACCCCAAGCTATGTTGACCTTGAGTCATCACTGTAATGTGAGCAATGAGCTCAGAAAGTGAGCAAATCGGCACAAAGCTGGAATACATCAACAGCTGGGGGATGAATTATGCTATCTAGCATTTAAGCTACATTTCTTTTGCAATAATTTAGCAACACTGACCCGAACATACTGCAGGAGCCTCGTGTGGCCCTTTCACACTACGGTCAGCTCGGCCCGGCCCGGTGCGGAACATCCCATCCCTGCATGGCCTGGTTGTGTTTATATTGCCTTCTCAAGAACATGGAAGTGGGCGAGGACGTGGATGGGCTCTGCTTCGCAAAACTCCACGGAGAAGTCTGTGATGTCAGTCGTAAGTTCCGCGAGTTAGTAAACAAAAGCAGGTGTGAGCGATGTCAGTTGAGAGAAGTGGGAAAAGTTGGTTAAAAAAGACGGAGGACGCTGTGGTACTCGGACCGCAGTTCATTTTGAGGAAGAGCACTGCATGTGAGAAGGCATCACCAAGCAGGGCTTAAGCCCCTATATTGTGACATCACTTTGCATGCACGCCACCAGGTTAATCAGAGGCACCCGCTACGTAGATAAGCGTGAATGACATCACTTCAGCCGGCCAATCAGTCCATAGGTGGGTGTGTAGGACTATTCCAGCATGAAAAGAACCACAGGGAAGCGGTTGGCTCCACATGGACAACGCCAGCTTAAATGCACCGATTAGGGGCTGAGCTTAGTCGACCCGGGCCAGGCCAAGCTGACTCTAGTGTAAAAGGGCAGAGTAGCAGAGGTCTGCAGACTCATCTCAAACTCACAGCAGTTTGTAAGTTTTGTGTGCATATGCTAGCCTCTCCAGCCACTCCACTGATGCAGATTTGAGCGCACCTTTCTTGAACTCCTCCAGCATGGCGTCCAGTTTGGTGTCGTTGAAGACGAAGTGCAGCGGGTGGTTGTAGAACTTGGTGATGGTTGTCATAGGGGTGCAGTCCTCTGGGTCCACCAGAGCCAGATCTTTCACGTAGAGGATTTCCACGATGTTAGACCTGCCAGAAATCAGGTGTGTTGGAACAGCTTTGATTTTAAGGCTTTATTCACTTGGAGGAGTGATGCATCATCCATTACTATACAAAGATATAAATAGTTTGGGGGAACTTAAATGGCTGTACATATGTATATTATAATCTCCATTAGTTTAGTGACTATGGTGTTGTAATGTTTACATCAGATGCCATTCATTAAAAGCATGGCTCCACTTCAGGGATTAGTTATCAATTTTAAAAAGGACGTAGAATTTTTTTGTAATTTAATTAAATAAATGAAATCTATTATAGTCTCACATAAATGTATTTTTAGCCAAACCATCTGTAATGTCAGTGTAATCACAAGCTCTTCTTATTTACTGATTTATTTTTGCAGCAGCAGGTTATCTCCTGTGGAGGAGATGGAGAAAACAACCAAAATCAGTGTCTGCCTACGACTCCTCTTGCTTTGCATCTTTATCTTTAACATGATGCAGAAAGTATCTTTAGTTGCTGAAAGCAGCCTGATCACACAGATGTAACGTCTGCTACAGCGCCCCCTGGTGTTTGGATCCCAGCACTTATGTTTGTTTACATCTCAAACCAGCCTGCTCACCAGTCAGAACTAAAATATGAGAAAATGATGAAGCTGATTAGAAGTAAACTGTTTTCTTATATGTAAAACTGTAACGTGAATAATAGGAATATGTAAAAATTAGGGTTTTCATTTGATTAAAAGGTATAAAAAAAAGTCCGATCTAACATCCCCAAACATGCAAACCCTTTGCTCAAATTCTTTCTGACTTGACTTTTTGCACTGCATGTTGCAACACGATGAACTCAAATAAAAACATTAGCGTAATAATAAGACATATCCCTGTGCTGTTGCTCCCACCTCTCCTCTTCGTAGATGGGCACCCGGGTGTACCCGCTCTGCATGATCTCCGACATGGTGGAAAAGTCGAGAACAGCTGAGCTCTGCAGCATGAAGCAGTCCTTCAGAGGAGTCAGGATGTCCTCCACCGTCTTTGTACGCAGCATCCCACGGCTGAACTCCTCCTTCACAAACTCACTGCACACACAAGCACACAAAGACAACAGACAACGTTAGAGTGTTTAGTTTACGACTTTATTTTTTCTGATGTTAATCTATTTCTGTTTTGAGATCATTATGATTTGATGACTTTGTTTTGTTTTGATCTATGTGACGCACTTTGTGATTCTATGTCTGTGATAAGTGCTATACAAATAAAATTTACTTACTAGTTGTCTGGACTCTGGACTGAGTCCACGGAAAGGTCAGGACTTAAGTCTTTGCACAAAGATTTCAAACTCCAAGCTTCAAGGTTGTTTTTTTTTGTTTATTCTCTTCATTTTTATTTCCAAGACCACTATATCAAAGTCTTTGAGACTGCATGGTGTTGCAGTTGGTAACACTGTTGTGTCAGAGCAAGAAGGTTGCAGGTTTAATCCCAGCAGCAGCTTTTCTGCATGAAGTTATGCTTTGCTACATGCATCCATGAATTTTCTCCAGTTTTCCTAGTTTCCTTCCCACAGACCAAAAACATGCATGTCTGTTTAAAACCGTAAGTCTCTTTAGACGCAGAATGGTGCACAATTTCAGGTTTCTGTTTGGTTAACCTTGAATCAGCTTAATTCCACTTCACAATTGTGTGCTACGTTGTCTTCTATCACAGAAAATCTCAGTAAAGTGTGGTTGTAAATTGTTTGTTTTAATGTAGGTTTTGTGTTAGATTTAAGTAAACAAGTAAAAATGACTTGTATAAAGGGGTAGGGATATATAAGTTTCCACTTCAGCCTACTCCTTTTCAAACACAGATGGGATGATATGTATTTTTTCTGTTTGTGGTACTTTTTAAAAAATTATGTACATTTTCTTTGTTTGAAATAAACTAAACTAAACTAAAATGTGTCAAAGTTCAAGGGGTCTGGATACTTCTGCAATATCACAATAATAACATTTTTGCATGTTTTTATTTAAAAAATTATACTTATAGTTTTTAAGCCATCAGACAAAGTCACAGATCAAACTGAAGGTGCCTGAAAGGAACTTAGACCAAGTCCTGTTTTAGCCTCTCAGATCAGTTCTTCTCCGGATGATTCAAACCCTTATTTTAGATCCTTATGTTTACCATCAAAGTTATTTTACCTGTATGGGTCGTTGACACTGGCTCGGATCATCTCCATGGCTCTCTGCCTTATCCCACAGGTGCTGATGTCCCTTCCCAGGCCCAGGTCCAGGATCAGCCCCAAAGGGCAGGACAGAGGGCAGGTGAGAATCATGCACACCTGGGCCAGCCAGGTGAGCGCGGGCGCCATCTGAAAGCCATAGTCGGAGCACAGGATGTGAGGAGCCAGCTCAGCCAGGAAGAAGATGAGGAATCCGCTGGTGAAGACCGCGGAGACGATGCACCCCAGCGCCTTGTACAGCAGCACCCCCAGGACCGAGTGTCCCAACGCGCACAGGAACAGCAGCGAACAGGTCTGGACGGAAACAGGAATGGTGGGAACACGGACACAAAGCTGCCTTCCCGACCTGCTGGGCTCAGAAACTCACCAGGAAGTTCCCTCTTCTCCTGACGGGCTCCAGGCGCTTGGCGGCTCGTTTCTCCTCCTCGGACCCGCAGCTGTGGAGCACGTAAAGCTCCACCGGGTCCAGCCACAGCAGGCTCAGGTTCACCGTCCGGAACACTCCGCACATCAGCAGCAGCAGCACCACCAGGAGGGCCAGACCCCACGGCGGGATGTAGTCTGCTCCGGGACTCTCCTCGGGACTGATCCGGAGTCTGTCCGGGCCAACAGAAGCCCACCTGCCCCCGCTCAGCGCACACAGGTGGTGGAGGCTGCGCCCGCTGCCCTTCACCTCCACAGTCAGCAGTCCGCTGAACTCCTCGTCCGGGATGAAGTCCTTCGTCACCTGGAAGGCGGACTCCAGACGGCTGGACTCGTCTTCGCACGGGTCGGGGGCATCACCGACCGCCCCCGTGGCTCCGTCAGCCGCCTCAGCGAACGCGACTTTCGGCCAGCTTCCATTCAGGTTAGCCCCAAAGAGACGGAGCTTGAACGTGGCTCCTTCTGGCGCTGAGATAATCCGGTCCTTCATGCACACCAGCTCTTCCGGGTCCTCCAGTCGCAGCCCCACAACCTGCGGAACTTCTTGGCCGCAGGCGCTGTCTCTAATCCCGCAGAGCAACACTATTATCATCCACAGAACCCGTAGACCTGCCAAGCTGGCCACCATATTGGAGATAGTCAGCCTTGCTCTGCGCGGGTCACGTGACTCTTGCTTGGCGGCCCCGCCCACCTGGAGAACTCATGAAGCTGCGCACCGGGGGCGGACATTTTGGCTCAAGCTACCCAAGCTGAAGACGGGAGGAGTCGGGAGATGAGCGGTCATTTTGGAGCTGGATTCTGAATGTTTTTGTTTTCAACACGCCGCCCGTTGGCTGTGAGAGTTCGCAGCGATGAGTTCACGCCCATCTTTGTTAACATTCATCGAAACAAGCCCCTCATGACTGTGGCTGAAGAAGGCGCTTTGTTTGCCTTTTAACGTTTATTCAGAGCTCATAAATAGGTTTACCTTTTCCATGTCCGTCTGAAATCGATTGCTAATGAGTTACAAATTCAATTAGATGTATGCCATGTTTTTATCATCCTAGTGCTTTACAGAATAAAGTTATCTATTAGTGCTGACAACAGACAGCAACATGGCTTGAATAACACACGCTTTCAATTCTCCTGTTTTATTCTTTGTTTCCTCAGGCCACCATAAACCAGTCTTGGGATATTTACAATTCGCCATTGGTTTAAAAAAATGTAAATAATGGCTACCAGGCATTCCTGGCAGCATTAGAACTGGTTAAGAAGGACAACATCTTAAAAATTATGAAACAGTCTGGCAGATTTTGACAATATCTGTGAGTGAGTTGAAAGGTGGGCAGTATGGGATCCAGCACAAGTCATTTATGAATGGAAGATATACTCGACCAAATAATTTCTTCATTATTGGGCCCACATATACCGTGGGTACAGAAAGTATTCAGACCCCCGTCAATTTTCCACTCTTTGTTATTTTGCAGCCATTTGCTAAAATCAATTAAATTCATTTAATTCCTCATTAATGTACACACACCCCATATTGACTTGGCCATTCAAGAACAGCCACACAAAGTTGTCGTGATGCCATTCCTTTGTTATTTTAGCTGTGTGCTCAGGGCCATTGTCAGGTTGGAAGGTAAACCTAACCCCAATTTGAGGTCCCTGAGCACTCTGGAGAAGATTCTCGTCCAGGATATTCCTGTACTTGGCCTCATTCATTGTTCCCTTGATTGCAACCAGTCATCCTGTCCCTGCAACTGAACCTGAATCCAGGTTCAGTTGCAAAGAACCTGTAAGGACTCCAAAGCGCTTTACACTGTAGTGTAAAGCGCTTTGGAGTCCTTACTCTGAGGGGCGCTATACAAGTGCGGGTCATTTATCATTTGAACCTCTCCCCCCATGATGCTGCCACCGCCATGCTTCGCTGTGGAGACTATTGGACAAGTGATGAGCAGTGCTTGGGCTTCCCCACACACAACACTTAGAATTAAGGCCAAAACGTTCTATCTTTGTCTCATTAGACCAGATAATCTTATTTCTCACCATCTCAGGTGTCTTTTAGCAAACTCCATGCGGGCTTTCATGTGTCTTGCACTGAGAGGCTTCCAACAGGCCACTCTGCCATAAAACCCTGACTGGTGGAGGGCTGCAGTGATGGTTGAATTTCTACAACTTTTCTCCCATCTCCTGACAGTGATCTTTGGGTTCCCGATAGCTCAGTCTGGCCAGACAGTCTGTTCTGAGAAGGGTTCTGGTCATCCCAAACCTCTTCCATTTAAGGATTATGGAGGACACTGTGGTCTTAAGAACCTTATACATAGCAGAGATGTTTTTGTATTCTTGGCCAGATCTGTGCCTTGCTACAATTCAGGCAGTTCCTTGAGGTCCACATGGCAAGGGTGAGGAGTGAGCACCACCTCACCCTTGCCATGTGGACCTCAAGGGATAAACCATCAATCCTGCTCAATTGTCATCTTTCCTGGTGGGGTCACCCAATAAGACAGTGGAAGGGTTAGTCATTTTTAGAATATGTACTTTTTCTTTTCCTTGTGTGAAGCAGATACACATCTGATCAGTATGACAGAACATCTTCATCACTTCTTTGTCTGAACCACTAAAGCTTTCAACATGGGTTTTTTCTTTAAAACGGGCCTTTGTTTGAAGGTCTCACGACACTGAGGACAGCTGTGGATTCCTCACTGATCCTCTCCATCCCAGTGAGCTTTAAAGGAATTTTCCAGATCAATGTTTTTCTCTCCCTTATAATTTTTACATAAAATAACTTTAACTCTTCTGTAATTTTGTAGAAACTTGATTATTTTAAAGTGCTCACCAAAAATTCCTACAATAATTTGCAAGATCTTGATGTCACTCCAGGCCTTTAAGCAAACAGCTGAATAAACCGTTGGAGAGTCCTTCATCAGATGAGGAACAAACGAAGAAAGAAACAATGAAGATGTGATGAAGGATGAAACAGTTGGATGGTGCTTTCTGGCCTGAATATGAGATAATGAACGTACAGGAAGACATGTCCAACTGGGAGGAAGTTGAATGGTTACTATAAGACTTGAGTGAGTTCCTGCACAAACCCATCCATCAGACACTTTACTAAGTTGCAATGTTGACATTGTTACTGTTGGTGCAAAAACCCTTCACAACCTGACCTTGGAAAAAGGAGAGAAGAATGGGTGATCAGTTTAGTCAGATTTCTCCAAACAGAGGTCATCCAAAGGGTCATCCACAGGTAAAGTAATACTAAAACATTAGTGAACTTAAGGTCATTACTTATTCAGGCTGGCCTGAGTGACACAATTGTTCTTCTGTGTCTCCTAACATGCTGCTTAATGATAATAATACATTTTTTAAAATCAAGGTGTCAAATACGTGGATCACAATGGAAATGATTAACTAACGTTAGGTAATACCAATCAGATAATGCCGAGCTGTAAAACAGTTTATAGCAATAAAACAGGAGTATTAATTAGGACCACTCTAACCGGGGTAAACACATATCAGGGTTCAGCTGTGGAGTCATTTGGTTGTTTCTAAGTGGGCGAGCTGTTGTTTTATTTACTTCAATTTTACATAGTAATTGCTATTGCATTCATCTTATTCCAGTGTTTAAAGGCTTTTAAACAACTGTTGCCACCACGTGATATTTCCAACTCAAAGGGACATAAAGACTTTTGCTGAGACTCAAACTGAAGTTATCTCCAACTTTCTCAGATGGATCCTGACTTGTTTTTAATTGGAACTCAAAAATTCCAATTTCCAAGTAATTGAATTGGATCATTAGAAAATAAGTAAATCTTCATCTATCATAAATTTACTTGATCATTTATGACCTGTTTGTGGTTTTTATGTACGACTCAGGACAGAGGATCCTAACTTTTTAGCTTCTGACCCACAAAATTACAACACAGATTATCAACCTTAGTTGCTGCTGACTGAAATATGTAGATATTGCCTAGAAATCTAGACAGAAAGTAGCCAAAGCAAAATGATTTTGCTCTTCGTGTCGGTCTAGCCCTGCTCCATAGGAGCCTCAGCAATTGGTTTTGTGGGAAGAATGATCTGACGGAGCAGAACAACTAAGATGGCATTGGCTTGTTTGAAACAGCTTTGGCATCAACTTCAGACTTTTTAGACTTGGACTTATCTTTGAGTCAAGAGCAGATAGAGGTATTTATGTTTTTTATTTAGAAAAGGATGTATTTGTGTCTCCATCAACAGTGGGTGGGAGACTGCCCCGTTGACTGACATCCATAGCGGTGAGTATGCCAGGTTGTTTGTTGTCCAAAAGCACGTGGAGACAGTTTTAAAGACAGCCGAAGATTCTGCCCTGTGACTATCTATCTATCTATCTATCTATGGGTCGTAGCCAGACTATATATTCACATATTTAGGATGACTTGCTAGGCTAAAAAAGTTTTTAAAAAGGGGGGCCTAATAAAACAAATAACCTCTAATCATTTTATGCTACTTATATCCATTTGTGGCTGTTATTTTTAGTTTTTGTAGAAATTATAGTGAAAATTTCATTTATATTCCAGAGATCATCTGAAGACCGTGATTCACCAGTTCTTTAAGGAAGCACTGATGCAAGCAAATAATTATTGTAGCATTTTTTAATGTCAATGCTATTGTTGCTGGGAAAGCTGATTTAACACTGGTGATCAATGATATAACTTCCTGTGGCAAAGTGTTTTCAACCTGATCCTGGTTTAAACATGACAGATTTTGCGTTTCCATACAGTGAAAATGATGAAGCCAACTTAAAGAGAGGGTCAATAACTCATATGACTTCAATCACCCTAAATATTGTTATTGTTCCCCCATGACTTATAACTCATGAATTTGCAACCCATGATCAGAACTAAACAAGCCATTTGGACAAAAGATTAAATGTCTTCAAGCAACAGGAAAAAAAGTCCACTTACCTTTTTAGACTTTTTATTCTTAGGATTGTCAGCATTTCCTGGATGGATGAAAATCTATACCACCATAAGATGTTCAAATGGAAACCTGTAATACCATCCATCCATCCATCCACCCATCCATCCATCCATCCATCCATCCATCCACCCATCCATATGCTTGCCACTAAGACTTTTAGAGTTTCAAAGCTGAACTGACAAATGAAACTAATCAAAACATGATGTTCCACATAAATTTGTTTCCAGTTTGTTTCCTGTCCAACCCACTTCATCTACACACATTTGTTTTCAACTTCACTTTGCCTTTAAACCTCTTTGTAGTCGTGGTTTGCTGTAAAACACCAAACATGGAGGTTTTAAGACAATGGGTTACGCATAAACAGTGACTATATTACATCCCTTTTTGGCCACTTATCTGGGGTCGGGTCGCGGGGGCATTAGCCTAAGTAGAGGTCCAGACTTCCATCTCCCCAGCCACTTGGACCAGCTCCTCCAGGAGAATCCTAAGGTGTTCCCTGACCAGCAGTGAGACATAGTCTCTCCAGCATGTCCTAGGTCTTCCTTTAGGCCTTCTCCCAGTTGGACGAGCCCGGAAAACCTCACCAGGGAGGCGTCCAGGAGGCATCCTAACTAGACGCCTGAACCACCTCAACTGGCTCCTCTCGATGTGGAGGAGCAGCGGGTCTACTCCGAGCCCCTCCCAGATGACCGATCTTCTCACCCTATCTCTAAGGGAGAGCCAGCCACCCTGCGGAGAAAACTCATTTAATTTTAACTCAATTAATGAGTGACCATATGACATTTACATAACCTTTCCACTGTCATAGTGGGTGATGAGTTTAAAACATTCATAATATTTGATGCTAAAACAAAAGAGCCCTCCTCTGAAAGCAGTTGTCTTCACAGTTTGACCAATTGTCATTTTAACCAGCACTAATGCAACACTATTGTGTTTATGCCACATCTCTGGGTTGGTAGGTTTTATCTTTTAGGGACATAGTTGAACATGTTGTAAAGCTTTGCATTTATCTCCAGGTGACCCATGAATGCACTAGTCTACAGATTATCACTGATAGAGCTCTGTTCAGCACCTCACCCTTATTTACCCATAATTAGGACAATCATTGCAGTCCCTCTGCCTGGTAATAAAGTCTCCTCCCTCACAAACTGCAGCTACAGAATCCTGCCTGATCATCCTCAAGAGGGTGTGACAATTAATTATTGTTCTATATACTAAATGATCATTTTTACTCTCCGAATAGAAACCATGGCCAGCAAAGGTTCAAGTCATTATGAAGACCATTATGAAGTCTTTCTCTCCAACAAGGACAAGAATGAATGTACAGGATTCCTGCCCTTTCTACGACCCAGACAGAAACGTTCTGATGGCCTTTAGGGAGAAGCGGAGGACTCCAAACGATTCCAGCTCAGAGGCGCTTGTTATGAAGACAAGAGAGTTAATCAAAGATGAAACCCCAAAAATTTTAAATGTCGTCGTCGTCTTCCTCCGCTGATCCGGGTCCGGGTCGCGGGGGCAGCATCCCAACTAGGGAGCTCCAGACCGTCCTCTCCCCGGCCACCTCCACCAGCTCCTCCGGCAGGACCCCAAGGCGTTCCCGGACCAGACTGGAGATGTAACCTCTCCAAC